CTACGCTTGCACTATCGGCAGAGCAGACGCTGAATGCGCACTTTCATCTGGTTTGGTCTGCCGCGGTTTGAGCAGTTAAATTAGATTATTTGCCAATGGAATGAGTATTTTTACTCTTCAAATAAGAAAATCAGATAATATACACTTGAAATAAGGAAATAAAATAGTTTTTTCTTATTTTAAATGTTAATTGTCTTGTTCCATTGGCAAATTGTCTCACATACCTCCTCAATTCAAGAAAAATTGCACTTAATTTAAGAAAAAAAATGACTTATTGAGATTTCATTTTTATGCAGTGCAGTAGAGGACATGTTTTTAACTCAGCAGGAATATTCCACAAACCTGAAAAACACTGATTTGTGGACAAATCACAGAAGAAAAACATTGTTCAAACATACAGAGAAAAGTGAAAGAGTAAATTCACTCTGATTCCAGCAGAGAAGCAGGCGGCAGACATGTTAATATATCTGAGAAATCTTGTGATAGAAATATTGCAGCTGTTTGAAAAGAGCAGACTCCATCTGATGTGGAGTCTGGTTCAAAGCAGCCGTGAAGCGGTGAAAAGATGCAGCATTAGGACATCAGAAAGGAAAGCTAGGTCACTCTCAGCTCAGGTGAAGAACTTCAGATGCAGATAGATCAGTGGTTTTCCTGCCAAGCCCACCTCCGTAACCGATGACTCATCTCCTCCTTGGCCGGTGGATGCGGTGACCAGCCGCGCTGCAAAGAGCTTTTTCAGCCTCAGGTAGTCATCCAGAACCACATTCAGCAGAGATCCCTGATAGGATGGCAGTTAGGATCAAACAAAACTAAACTCTACTAACTGCTAAAACCTGAACTAACAACTGTGCTTTAACATCATGTAGATTATGTAAGTTTGAACTGAAAATAATTTTTAAAATAACCTTTTTTTTTTACCTTTTGTAAATGCATCTATAAGCCTGTAGCTTATTTTCCTTAATTTACTTCGGGTCATAACTTCCCTCCCTGTTTGGCGGAGGTGACATCAAGCGCGTCGATGTTAAATCAGTCCGACCTAGCGCACAATCAAAGCGTTTTATTTAAGATGGATTTCATGGATTCTTAGAAGCGACCGGCATCCAGCTAACCTGACTCCGCCAGATGGATTTGCTCCGCATATCCATCTGGAAACCTTCCGTTGAAGTAATTTTGGGAAGGGGTGAAAATACTGGTTAGCTGATTGGCCTATGTTGGTGATAGACGGGCCAAATAAACCAATCAGATCAACGAAGCATATGTCGTACTAGCAGAGCGATGACGAAAACACAACCACAAGCCAGGCTAACTCTTGCCGAAACCAGTCGGGAGAAGTGCAAAAACATCCTTTTCTCTGAGAAAAGCCTCCAGAG